CCCCTCCATTATATCCCATCTCCCGGAAGCCCAGCACCACAAGCTCTTCCAATCCTTGATGGAGCTTGGCAAATCGAGCACGAATGGAGTTTGGGAACCTAATGAGGTCAGATAATACCACCCCCTGGTCTTATCACCGCCGCTGCAACCTTAGGAATGTACAGGGCTTGAAAGACAGGGAAGGGCATCTCCACCCCATAAAATGCCTCCTTCCACAGTATCCATGACCCAACCATTTGGCTCTAAGAGTTTGGGTCTGACTGGGTCTGAGCTAAGCTATAGGACCTCAGAGCATAAGGGTGAATGGGTAAAATAAGCCCCGCCTTGAGGACGGCCTCACTAATAGCCATACATCCCGGCCTAGGGTAGCAGGCCCACTCATCAGGCTCCGGAAAAATCAGACCCACATTATCTGGTATCTTATACTATTTCCTAAGTCTATCGAAGTCGGCAAACTTAAGTTTCAAAGGGTCGTCAAACGCCCCAGTGGATTGAAATATCCACGGGCCTGTCAGGACGCCTCCATAGGTTCTCCTCCCTAATACCACCTCGGAGAGTTCGAGAGAGGTTACCAGAATAGGGTCATCTACCCTCATTATCTTTAGATCCCTCTTAGAAGATCCACCACCCTCAGAAGACATTTTTCAGAATGAGAGGGCAAGAAACTTAGAAAAATACTTACAAGTCAACTGAAATCTGCGTTTTACCATTGGAAAACTCAAATCGACGTCTCAAGACCGCCGAAAGTAGTAGAAAAACTTGTACCATCGTCGAAAATCGCCAGAAGTCGCAAAAGTTTTGAGAGCAATGAGCTTTTCTGAGTTTGCAAGCGTGAAAGCTTTCGAATGCCAACACTAAAGCCTTTTATAAGGAGCCTCTCATGATTTCGACCGCCCAATTCAAATGCTATTAATATAGGCCATTGATTGCATCGCTAAATCCAAAGCATCGAAACGAAACGTCAGATTTGATGAACGCCTGAGATCTAGTTGTGAATCCCACGCAAGCCCCAAACGCGTTGCCTCGAATTACAACAGCCTTCTACAATAAGTAGCCAAAGCAGCTTTTTCTGGGAATGGGCATCGCACCCAATTGTCGCTTTGGAAATACGCGATAGCTATCACATCGATTAACGTCAGAATACGCCACTTCAGATCAAATTCCTCGGCTTTCTTAAGGCACGTCGGATCATGCGTATCAGCTTCACAAATTCAACTCTCCCCAGACAGAGACCCCTGTGGGTCATCGTCTCGGTCGTAAAGTTACAAAAGCTTTACAAAGCCTCAAGCCATCTCCCAAGCATCGTCCCCTATGGGTCAGCGTATCGGTCGTAGATGAACTCTCTTATCAGCTTCACAAAGCTTAAACTCTCCCCAGATGAAGACCCCTATGGGTCATCCCCTCGGTAGCAGAGCTACAAAAGCGTTATAAAGCCTCAAGCCATTTCCCAAACGTCGTCCCTTATAGGTCAGCTCATCGGTCACATATGAGCTCTCTTGCCAGCTTTACAAAGCTTCAACTCTCCCCAGAAGGAGACCCCTGTGGGTCATCGTCTCAATCGCAGAGCTATAAAAGCTTTACGAAGTCTCAAGCCATCTTCCAAGCGTCGTCCCCTGTAGGTCAACGCATCGGTCTAAGATGAACTCCCCTATCAGCTTTACAAGCTCTGACACATCAGTCTCAGCTAACAACGCACTTTAACCCCCAAAGGCTTCTATCCATCTACTCACTTCCACTATAGGGTCAACACTCCAATAGAACCTGATCTCTCAAAGGCCAACATAATCGTTCTAACGAGTCCACGAATAATATAAATATTCATCCCTGAACTTGGGGAGACCACTATTACGCTCCCTAACCAAACCACTTCGACACATCGTGCCCACCCCTCAGCCCTCCAAAGTGATACAAGCCTTGATCTAACTTTAAGTCCACATGCTAATCGCTAAGTAAATCTGCCAAGGCATCTGAAGTGTCCCATGCCGAAGCGTGGGGTACGTTGAGGCGCTTCTTCAAACAGCTCTCCGCCGCCAGTTTCAGAGAGAGATCTTTGTCAGGATCCCCTTTACCTCAATGGATTAATTGACGTGACATCTCCACGGATTGATTGATGTGACGTATCAACTTTATATCAATTTAACGCAGAAGAACTAATTACTCGCACGCTCTAGATGTGGTTGATTGACGCCTACGAGCGGATACCTCAGACTGTTAGATGCATACATGTGTCTCTAAGGTTTGGCAAGAGGCAAAGGTAATGAAACTCACGCTAAACTAAGCTACCCACATACGAGTATAGTTTTCTCCTCCCCACTCTTGCACAATTCTGGCACCATTCCGATCACCAACTACTGACTTGATCGTCGGAGTGTATGCGGCCGCCGCCACCCCCGCTGGTTTCGACCGTGTACTTCTGACCTTGTGTTATTATGCATAGGGAGGAACACGTGGAGTGACTCTCGGTTGGCCACGTGGAGGTTCAATTCACAAGATCAACAAAATGTACTATTAATTTGAGATTATTTTATTGTTAAAATATGCTTTAATAAGATATGTAGATGCAGGTTTTCGTTCTGACCCTTATAAAGCTAATTCACAAGCAGGGTATGTGTTTCGACATAGTGGAATAGATATATCATTTAGATTTGTGAAGCAATTTTTGATAGCAATATCCTCAAAATCATTCAGAAATTATTGAAATCCATGAAGCAGTGGAAGAATGTGTATGGCTGAAGAACATGATCCTTCATATCCAAGCATCATGCGACTTTAACTTTAACCAAAAATAGTCTAATAATCTTATATGAAGACAATGCAACTAATATTCCACAACTCGAAGAAAGCTATATCAATCGAACATGTTTCTCTAAAATTCTTTAATAAACATAAGCTTTAAACGAATGACGACATTGATTCCAACAAATTCACTTAAATGATAATGTGATCGTTTTATTCACAAAAATATTGCCGACATCAACATTCAATAAATTGTTTCATGAGATTGGAATACGTCAACTCAAATATTTTTAGTGATCAACATCAGGTGTAGTAGCTATGCTTTTTTTTTCTTCGATTAAATTTTATTCAACTAAATGTTTCTAATAAAGTTTTAATGAGGTAGCATTTATTTTTAATATTCTAAAATAATTGTACTCTTTTTCATTCGTTTGATTTTTTTTCCCATTGAATTTAGTCAAACAAGGTTTTAACGAAACGAATATTTTATAATGTGTCATTTAATGAGAAGTGTTGTAAATAGTAAGTTTATTAGTGAATGATAATTGTACTCCTACAATCTTATAAATTATTACCATTGTATCCCTAATTATTCTACATAAATATAGAGCTTTGATTCTTAATGAAATACACACAAATCTATTGATTTTAAAATATATTATTTGTACATAGCGCGGTATCCACCCCCTCATATGAAGGGGATTCACATCTAGGAATGGCAAAAATACCCATCAAACTCAATACCGTGGGGACCCGCCCCGAATGAGGCGAGGATTACCCGCTTAATTTGGTAATCAGGTCGAGTACAGTATGGGTACAGGCCTTGCCCCCGTTTGATTTAATTTAATTTAATTATTTTTTAAGAATTCAATACTTTAAGCCCTTGTTTGATTTCTAAAATTTTTAAAATATATTTTCCTCTATTCTTTTTAACCACACATTTTTTAATAAAATGATACTACACGTAAATTCAAAAAAACTTCTTATTTTTTAACCACACATTCATCATAAATCTCATATTCTAAAATGCATTATTATGAAATAATAGAATTCAAACAAGCGCTAAATAGAAAAGCTCCACGAAATCTCATTAATTCTAATAGAAAATGGTAACTAAGATTATTTAAGGAATATAATAGACAATAAAAATCTTAGTTTACCAAATATATTTGAATAATTTAACTTTTAAAAATAAATTAATTAATTAAAAATTTTAATAACTATATTATTGTCTCATTTGATTGAATGGAGCATTAAAATGAGTTAAAAAATTAAACAAATACGTAAACAATACAATCATCTCAATCGGCCCCGCCCCAAACGATAACGGGGAGAGAAAATGCCTGACTTGGGTGGACATCGTTATGGACATCGTCCATTGATTTTTATCATCTCTTTTTGTTTTGCCTTTTTAATAACAAATTTAAGCTCATATCGTAGAGTATATTGATTTTTTACAATAGAGTAGAGGTTAATTAGATTGAAATATGAATTGCACCGAATTGACGGTTCTTATCGCCAACCTATTTGTGACATTGTCAGCCGACCTAGTAAAATACATTTTCCATTGTTGCCACTTTTAATAATCTTGTACTGATTTGTCAAATTTGTCAAAAGGAGGACTCGTTTCCCTTGAGTCTCAATTTGCGACGACTAATTGAAAGCAACCTTTACCGGTGCACATGGAACTCAAAAGACATTTTGATAAAGTATACAAATGGTCTAAATTTTCATTTGATTGAGTCATTTCATTTTTGCCCCATAAAAATATCAATAAATAATATATTTTTATTGGTGCAATGTGTAATTGAAAACAACGATGTGAAAAAAAAAAAGATTTTAAAGAGCTTCTGAGAAGTATTGACTTAGTCACTTTTGAATTTAAAGAAAAAGACCTACGAAAAATGCAGAAGATACAAGACTTCGGTTTTCTATTTTGACCAAAAGTCTATGGAATATGAGAAACAAAAGTCATCGATCACTTGTTTCTGATTTTTCAAAAAAAATTATAAAAATTCCATACAATTTGGTCAAATCATATATGAGATACAAGACATCTCATTATATATATTCTTTTGGTTTTTTTAATCTGTGGAAAGTTCTTTTTTTTTTTCCTTTTTTTCACGCGTTTTCCATTGTATTGGACAAGCACTTAGTTTGAATTTGAGGAAGGTGGGATTCTAACGCTACACTTTCTTGATTAATTTAATATCAATTATTTATTTCTAAGACTTTTGTGTACTTTCTCACTCTATATAATCACATTACTTTGTCTAAACGTTTGCCCAACAAAAAATCTCTAACATTTCTTCCTTTTTCTGTATCTTCTTCTTAACTTGGTCTTTCACAACAATATTATCATGGTTCTATCCAAGGCATCCTCCCAATCCGACGTCTCGATTCACTCGACGTTCGCTTCTCGATACGTTCGGAATTCTCTTCCAAGGTAATTTTAAGCTCTTTGTATATATCTATATTTGTTTCTTATGCTTATTCGGATCGCTGAACCCCATAAAAGAACATAATATATATCGATATAGATGATGCAATTAAAAATGTGATGTATAGATTTAAGGTTCCCGAGAATTCGATTCCTAAGGAAGCCGCATACCAAATCATCAACGATGAACTTATGTTGGATGGGAATCCAAGATTGAATCTGGCTTCTTTTGTCACAACATGGATGGAACCTGAGTGTGACAAGCTCATCATGGATTCCATTAACAAGAATTATGTCGATATGGATGAGTACCCCGTCACCACTGAGCTTCAGGCAAGTCATTTACATATATTTAACTGAAATTTCTGGGCAAGTTTCATAGTTTAATATATATATATATATATTGATTGAGTTTCATATTTCTCGGATAAGCTTGGAAATACATTCGATACACTTTCCTTATAGACAGATCGATCAACTGAGATTGACATTTGCAAATTAGTGATCTGCAAATTCAATGAACAAGATAGGATTATTTGAATTCATTTCTTTTGCATTAGTTTCTTAGAATCTGTCCCACAGATTTACGAAGTGGTATAGTATCTAGGATTATTTTTTCCCTTGTAGATGGTGGGAATATATACTTATGTAAAGTAGTTTCTTTCGCTGCGAGAGATGATCGTGCATAATTGTTAATACCCCCCACAAATATTATTCTAAAATAGATTGGAAGAAAGGAATAATGCTTTTCATAGCAACTATTTGTCGTAATCAGCTTATGTGGCGTTTTATACAGCTTCAAATATCAAATTAATTTTTTTTTTTTGGTTTATATCGAAAAGAAGTTATGTCAAGTAGGATGTTTTGCCTTTTTAAAGTTATGTGGAGTGCCACATAAACCGTCTATAGCGGTCTGTGTTTATAAAAAGTATTACTCAGATGAAAATTTTTCTAAATTTCCTTTTGTGATAAATGCTCTGCGATCGTTCGGAATAGTTTAATAAGTTGATGTCAAACTTAATAATTTATTTTAACTATACACTTCATGAGATTTAAAATTTTTTTCTACCTTTTATCTATATAAACTAATACTTTTAGAAAAACTTTGTCAAAGTTCTAACAACCCCACGATCAATATAATTACTTTAATTTTTGTTTCTTTATTTTTTGGTGGGGCCCAGGTTGAATATATCCTATAGTTGGTAATTGTCCCTTCGCTCACCTTTTAAGAGATGGGGATTGAATCGTATCAATTTGGTTCAAATTTGATTCTCCAGTTAAAGATCTTAAATTTAATTAATTTTCTAATTACATTTTGTAATAATCTCTCAAATAAATAAACCATAAGTTATGTGAACTAATATGTATTTTGAATAACCAACACCTTTTTTGTTGTATGTAACAAAAAAATGAAAACGGATCCCAAAATTTACATAAGAATTTGACTTTATACATTTTTTTCGAACGCTTGAAAAGAAATCGACCAAAATTACTAGTAGATGTTTTCATTGTAATTGGCCGATACTCAACCCTACTTAGGCGTGATGTTTGCTTCTAAATTCATGATTTAACCTTAAAATAATTGATTGTTCTAATTATTATTAACAAAAAAAAAGTACTAAATAAAAAATTAGTTAAAAATAAGTTAAGCTTAGGTTAGGCCCACATGCCTAAATGTATCATTCATTACTAATGTGACCTTCGCTATGTTAAAGGGGGAATGGCCATAAAAATTTATTGATTATAATATGAAAAAATGATTTAATGTATACCTAACTTTAAGCCGTTGTTTGCGGCGATGAATCATGTGCCAAGTGACCCAAGACCGACCGTCAAAAAGCATCCCAAATATTTTAGTATTTTAACTTTATGCCAAGAAATAAAAGAAAAAATAAACAAACATTATTTATTTGCTTATTTCAATTTAATGAAATAGAAATTTCAGCCTGTTTGATTTAACTAAAAAAATGATAATAAATATAAATCTAAATAAATAATTAATTTTAACTACATATATTTAATGAGATTCGTAACTTTTATCGACTTTTTAACTACACATTTCATTAACTATTATAAAAATTAATTAAGAAAATTGAATGAGGACTTGGTCACCTTTTTTTTAACAATTCGACGTAGAAAACAGAAACAATTCGATCGTTTGATGTCAACGTCAAATGTTTTGAACATGACCATATATGTACAAGTAATAGTTTGGACCGCATTGGACTTCGTATTAATAATTTGGTAAAAATTAAAATCAGATTTTTAGTATATTTTGATAAAAGTTAATGAAATATGTGGTTGAAAGTTGTGGAGCTTATGAAATGTGTGGTTAAAATCAATTGTTGACTTTAACTTTAGACTTCAATCCGATTTTTTAGCAATGCCAAACAAGGGTTAATTGTGTTCTTTCTCAAGAAAGAGAAATGCCATTTAGTAATTAAATTCATAAGCCATGACCATTTAAAAAAAAGAAAAAAAAAAGATCAAATACAATTTCAACTTCATTTCTTTTAATTGCATCAAATATTTTCATTGCAATTTACCAAACATGTTATTAATTGACCATCAAATAAAACTCGTATCACTTGCAGAATCGATGCGTTAACATGATCGCACATCTTTTTAACGCGCCATTGGGAGATGGGGAGGCGGCAATTGGAGTTGGAACAGTAGGATCATCGGAAGCCATTATGCTTGCAGGCTTAGCATTCAAAAGAAAATGGCAAAACAAGATGAAAGCCCTCGGTAAACCCTGTGACAAGCCTAACATTGTCACTGGTGCCAATGTTCAGGTATGTACAAATATATATAAAAACGTTATGTGACGAATTAAGCTGGAATATTAATTGGTCATGCATTTATTTAAATTGGCCTTTGCACAGGTTTGTTGGGAAAAATTTGCTAGGTATTTTGAAGTGGAACTGAAGGAGGTTAAGCTGAGAGATGGCTACTATGTAATGGACCCTAAGAAAGCTGTGGAAATGGTAGATGAGAACACAATTTGTGTTGCTGCAATCTTGGGTTCTACTCTTAATGGAGAATTTGAAGATGTTAAGACCTTGAACGACCTTTTGGTGAAAAAGAATCAAGAAACTGGGTATGCGTCTTTCTCAATTTAGGCTTCAAGCTACATCGTCACTTATTTATGAAAATTTCATGTGTCAAGTCTTTGACGAGCCGGGGTTTAATTAATTGTGTGCAGGTGGGACACTCCAATTCATGTGGATGCAGCAAGTGGTGGGTTCATTGCACCATTTCTATACCCAGAACTTGAATGGGATTTTAGGCTGCCATTGGTGAAGAGTATTAATGTGAGTGGGCACAAGTATGGACTTGTGTATGCTGGGATTGGTTGGGTAATCTGGAGGAACAAGGAGGACCTGCCTGAAGAACTCATATTCCACATTAACTACCTTGGAGCTGATCAACCCACTTTCACACTCAACTTTTCTAAAGGTTATAGTTTTCACTCATAATATTAAGACCGACCAAAAAAATTATGTTACATTGGCTTGGAAGGGGGATTGAATACTGTTGTTCAATACTGTTTACCAAACATGGTCTAATACTTTAGGTCAAAATGGATTGTGGGATACTAAACTATATACCGTTTTTTATATTGCAGGTTCTAGTCAAGTAATTGCTCAATACTATCAACTCATTCGCTTGGGTTACGAGGTAATTAAGTGAAAGAAAATCAATCTATTCTTGATCCAACTCAATTATCTCAGTTCGATTATTGATCAAGGTTTTGATTGATCAGGGGTACAAGAACATCATGGAAAATTGTCAAGAAAATGCAATGGTACTCAAGGCCGGCCTGGAGAAAACGGGACGCTTTAACATTGTATCAAAGGACAATGGAGTCCCATTGGTGGCATTCTCTCTCAAGGACAGTAGCCGTCACACTGAGTTCGAGGTGTCTGACATGCTACGTCGATTTGGGTGGATCGTCCCGGCCTATACCATGCCACCAGACGCACAACATGTGACAGTTCTTCGAGTTGTTATACGCGAAGATTTTTCAAGGACTTTAGCCGAGCGCCTCGTCATCGACATCGACAAAGTTTTACGTGATCTTGATACGCTTCCGGCTAGAGTTACCGAGAAAGTGGCTGCCACTGAAGAGCAAGCCCAGAATGGTGGCGTGGTGAAGAAAAGTGACATTGAGGTACAAAGGGAGATCACTACAGCATGGATGAAATTTGTTGCTGACAAGAAGAAGACTAACGGGGTGTGTTAAGGCTTCGATTGGTCTGCGGAATTACAAATATTATTCCTCGTATCTTAAAAAAATGACTACGACTATGTAGTCTATTCGGATTTTGCTATTTATAACCGTACTATTTTGAGTTGAGTGTTATTAGATTGAAGAGTACCCCGCGTATTTAATTCTCGTAATGTTGATGATGTGGTGCAAACTCTGTTTCTTGCAATTTCAGAGTTTGAAAAAAATGGGAAAAAAGGAAAAGGTTTTCTCTTTGGTTCTTGAACATAAGACTGTTGGTATTGAACTTCTGTCTTTCAACTTACAGATTTGTGGAGTTCTTTTGGAAAAACCAGAATGTATCATTTAGCCAACGGGTTAAGTTTGGTCAGGATCAAGTAAGTCGATCTCTAATGTAAATTTGGGCAAATTGATATATTAAACTCAATAAAAATTATATTTTCAGTCGACATATAAAATATGAATAACTACGTTTAATAGGTAGGAAGAAAATCGAGTTGGCATATCTAATCGGTTTCAAGGTTGAATACGCCATCATCTTGTCTCCTTGATTTCTTGGATTTTGTCATGTGCTTTTTCTTCAGATTTTTGGATGATTTCTTCGAAGGAAAGCTGCAAACTGGAGCGAGAAAAAGGGGCAGAAATTCTTGAAATTGATCAAGAAAGTTGTTTGTCTGTTACTCTTCATGGGAGGAAAAATGTTTTCACGAAAGTGGGAATCCTTAGAATTCCAAGAATGTGGAAAAATGAAGGAATATTTTGTGCGGGGAAGAGCTGAAGAGGAATCTGATAAGTGTAAGTAAATTGGAGTATTTGTTAGTGATATGAATAAGTTATAGTTCAATTATGTGTTAAATATGTTTGTTAGATTGAACTCATTACAAATTGGTGGAATTAAAAGAAATGAACGAAAAAAGGGCAAAAACGAAAGAAATTTAAAGTTTGGGGGACCAAAGTGTAAACATTCAACAATTTTTTCGGACCATAAGATGATAATTGAAGATCACGTATGATCAATTGGATGCAATTTGAAGGTCAAATGAGTGAAATAGAGTTGAAGTATTTTTCCAAATCAATTTCCGGTCGAAGAAATTATGCTCTGAATTTTTAACCTCAAATTCAGACCCATTTTTTAGGTAGGAAACATTCGATTGGAAAATTGTATTTGGACATATTGTAATCTTTTGATTTAACTTTCCAATGCACTTTAAATCACCTTAATCGGATATCAAAAGAGAAAATTATGACCAAATTACGAAAGCTACTCGGGGATAATAGTGCACAAAACGGCGCGCGCGGGCCATTCAATGGCGTGCACTCAACACACAAATTCTTGACCCGAGAGCAATATGGATAAATGGCGTGCACACGGTGTTTATGCTTGTGACACATGGGGGCTTTTTTTGCAGACGAATCAATAGTTTTCTTTTGCAACTCAAACTCTTTTGGAATCTAATTTGGACAAGGATTTTTTACGATTATTTCTAGTATGGAATGAGTCAATCATCCACTTTGGGATCTTATTGAACAAAAAGGGTGATATTTTTTCTCCAATTTACAAGTGAGGATCTTAAAGAGGTTTGAAATTCCCTTATGCCTAATAATTTGAGTCTCCAAAAGGGGATAAGGTGGAATAATCAAATAAATGATACAATGAGTTGATATCAATCGCAGTGACCCATCAGATAGAAGACAAAGAATTCCGGTATGTGCCGTGCTTTGATTTTGACTTATTTCCTAGCTCTCACAAAATAGGGAACAAAGGTTGCACATAAAATAAAATAAAATAGAAAAAAAATCTCTCTTGTCTCTTCATACACAATATTATCACCAAATTTATCAAGAACAAGGTGCCAATTCATTACTTTTGGGACACGAAATCAAGCCCTAGCAAGGAATTGAAACTCAATTACATAAAGATTTTGAAGATTTCAACCTTGGACTTGAAGATCGACATCTTTTTTATTCTTTCATGATCCAGATAATATTCTTTCATTATTCTTTATGTAATTTATATATTAATATGTTAAGCTAGATTTACTTTTGTATTGGATAAATATGAACCCCATTTGTTATTTATTTCTAATTCATGAGTAGTAGTTTAGTATTTTTTGCGTTTCTTGATTGATAATACATACACATTGTATTATTTAATTGATTGGTCACAAATTAAATAATTTGTTGCTTTTTGTAGTTGAGAGATTCACAATAAGTTTAGAACACGGTAAAATTAGCATATGTACAACAGATGTTAGAAATAACATTTACCACATGTGCAATCATATGGATAATCTAAAATTTAATGTGTTTGAACCATTCAAATTCAGGTTAGGAATATATTCGAGTCGTGGTTAGGATAGAATTAATTTTTCTGGAAAAAGAAAGTTAAATACATTAACTTTATCGATTTTCAAGAACATATAAACGGAATTAAATGACGAATCAAGAATTGAAATAGATAGCAATAGGTGGATTCTAGATCCAATATAATCATCCATATTTGATAAAAACCCTAGTTTTACCGCTTTCTTAGATTAATTTAAAATAGTTACAAAATGAACTTCTCTTTTGTTTACATAATTCTAGTTCCATACCTAATTAGTAAACTTGAATTGAAGTTATTTTTTGTAGGACGACACTCTCGTTTCACTAAATCTATTATTTGTCAATGATTTCGTATGTTTTTGAGTTTTTACTGAACAAGTTTTTCACACTGTTGCTGGGAATCAAGTACTTAATTTGAGTTTATCATTTTATGTAGGACTCGAATTTTTTATTTTGTTATTTTATGATAATTTTGACTACCTGTCCTAATCATTCTTGTGATTGGTGTGCTTTCTATTGTTATTCAAGAATATATGCAAAATTTTGGTGATGGCAAAGGAGTAAATTTTTTTTTAAACAAGTAATCTTGTCGTGGGTGATGAGGATGTACTTGTAAAAAACATAATTTGTGAGTTTTGTAATGGAATGCATTATGCTGGACAATGCTTGTATACATGCACTAATCCCTTTATGTCCAAATATATGTGTTTTAAACAATATTTAAAAAGCCAAAAATAAGCAACTGACAAATCTGATGAATGTTACATGCCTGAGGGTGAATATGTACCTTCATATCCAGACGGTGACATCATTCTTATGCGAATTGGTCCTCCCATGTTGAACGAGGAGACATTTGTAAAATATTATAATTAACTTGCTATGTTGGATGAAAGAAAAATATGTACAGGATATTTCTGTGATGAATTTAAAAGGTGGGGGATATAACCCACTTGAAAAGGTTGAAATAAAAGAATTACCATTATCGACGAATTTTGACTGTAAACTGACCATTCAACTCGATAAGATATCAATTATTGAAAAAGAACATAAAGAATATGACAAACTACTTACAAAGGAATCAAACAAAGAAGTGGCAATTAATAATGATGAAATTAATACAAATTCTTTCGACATCGTCGATTGTCCAATAATTGAATTCGAGGAAAAAGGCTATATAGTTTATTTTGAATTGGATGGAATAGACAAGTCATATCACATTAAAGGAGGTAGTGTCAAGATTTGGAGAATCAACAAAAAGTGGATCAAAGTCAAAAGAAGTAAACTAAGCAAGTCATCAAAAGCTTTCTTTAGAATTCTATGATACAAAACATCAACGTCAAGCTAATGATTATAAATAAGTGTTTATTGAGAAGCAACCCAATTTTCTTCTTTTATATTTATTTTGCTTTTTAGATATAGGATTAGTAATTTTTATTGTTTTTAATAGTATAGGATATCTTCATCCATATATTTTCATTTTGGGTGTGTCTGAGCTTATTATAAGTGTTCCACATTATCATTGATTTTTCTAATTATTTTGAAGAAACATGACACCTGATCACATTGGACAAGGGAAGATACATAGCAAGTGATCCATCACTTTCATACCAGTCCATCCATTATCTGCAGATTTATAGCAGAGGAGTATTTAGTTTCCTTTTTCTGTCCTTAATTTTTATATATTGCTTGTTATATTTTTAGGCATTGAAGGTAATATCTGTTATAAATTTGGAGGAAAAGGCATTGAATTTTTATTAGTTTGTGTGCTTGTTCTAGTGGGAAAAAAAATCTGAAATTTTGAAAAAAAAAATGATTTTTAGCTTATTTTTTGCTTTTATGTCTTGTGTGGATTAGATAAATTTGCCTACTATGATGAATATATTTGAATCCATGTGTTAGGCTATAAATTGTGAAAAAGTTGCAAGTTAGGATTGATTTATGCTTATTCATGTATAACTTGATAATTTTAGCACAAAATTTATGTTTTGCATCGTGAAAGAATAATTTGATTTTAAAATTTGAATTGGTTAATATATATATATATGGACCTTAAATGCTAAATTCGTACAACCACTAAACTATACATTCTTAATCCAAATTTAAAATAGTTTGGGAGTGATTGACATGTTGTAAGGAGATATTGAGATAAATATGAATTTCATATATGCTAAATTTTGTGTAGATTGTCCAAGGCCAATATGATGTAAATTAGGTAAAAATCTTAAGTTAGGGGGTCAGTTTTTTGAAAATGAGTGTTTGATATTTGCACTAATTATTTCATATTTTTATTTTATTTTTAAAAAGAAAGACAGTGAAAAAGGTTTCTCTTTGTGAAATGTCTATTAATAGCCTTTATGACTTGAGTGATTAAGCCTGCTAAAGTATTTAAAATATGGTATTCTAAAGTCATCTGATTTGAAAGTCATCGACCAAAAGCTCGCTACATGAGTTATTTAAAAAGTTTAATGGAGAAAAGTCCACACATAAGATGTTAGAATACACACACACACACACACACACAATTGAGCCCCAAACACTTATTTTAGAAAATTAGACATTTGATAATAGGTTATTAACTTAATTGATTCTTGGGGGTTGAAGAAATAAAAAAAATATGGAGAATCTTCATTTATTGATATATTGAGCTGCAATTAGTAAGATCGTACCAAACTAAAGAGGTGAGGACTAGTATATAAATTTAATTTTAGATCACATATCGGCAAAAGTGTTAAAAAATAAGTTTAGGTGTGAATCTTATAAGAGAAGAAATGTTATATTTGACCATTGAGAATCAAAAATTTGAATCACTTTATAAATTTATGATGTCTGGCATGAATTTTCTCTCACACACACACACACATACATGTTGGTTATATATTGGATAAGTAAAAATTAATCTGAACAATGTGATTTTGAAGCAGTTCATATCTTTAATACAAGAATTCCTATGTTGAGATCAAAAGCAAATTATCTAATCATGAGTTTTTAAAATTTTTGGTTAAGTTACGATACAGTTTTGTTTGAGGACAAATAAATTCAAGTTTGGAAACATTTGATAAGTGTATTTCGTACACTTATCCAAGTCGGTAGATCGAAATATTTGTTAGGGATTTGAATGA